CTCATATTTTTGTAATTGGAAACAATACTGCTTTAACAATGCCAATTTCCTGAAATATTGTGTATACGGTCAAACCTGTTTTGAAATCTAAAATATCTACAGGGGTTTCCAAAATATTGGGTAAAAACTAAATGTTGTCAATTTGAAAAACTTACGATATTGTCTATATCGTTTGAGCAAAGTTAAAAGAAAATATAGACTTTTGTATTATGATTTACGCCCAATCGACTGGAACTACGCAAACATTTCCAGGCCTTCTAGATTTTGAACAACTATAGCCAATTTTGTTATTTTTTATGGCCGTCATATTGGATTTTATACGATGAATAGCCAAAAAAATTCCAAATCAACGATAGAAGAACATTTGTTAAAGAAAAGTGAGATTAGGCACAAATTTTATTTTTCATCCTTCAGTTTTGCTTTTATTATAATAATAATAAACTTTATTTATACAAGTATATATAGATATAACAAAATCGATAAGTAGGTACTAGAGAGTACTTGTTTCGAAACGAACATTATTCAATGATTATAGTAGATATTATGCAACGATCATGTAATAATGGTTGATAATACACGAGCATTAACCGGGATACGAAACGTATGTTTAATGCGAGTTTATAAATAACCATTACAAAAGAGTTGCGTACGCTATTTTTTCTACGCCCGATAAATAATCAAGAACTATAAATATTATATTTATATTTGTATTGAACACAATAACAGTAATTACTCGTATTTCTATAAAAAAATTCTACAAAATTGTAATTAATGGTATTACCTCGGGTATTGGTATTACCATAAATTTTTGAGGCAAAATATTTTGTACTGCATTTTTGAAGTTTAGCTATCTACGAAAATTTAATACGTACTGATTTTGACAACTAAAACAATAATTACATAGGAACATAGGACAACGTCAAATGCACAGCATGCTTGATTGGGAAATTGTGGGTTTCAATTGATTAAAAATCTGTATCGTTATGAAAAATCTGTATCATAATGGTTATCAATATGAAACAGATTATGGGCATAAAAGTGCATTATTATAATACGGGTGTAGAAAAATGTATTTACAGTTTTTATATTTTTTATAGCTCTAGGGAAAGTGTTATACATTCTAGTACTAATTTAAGATTTCACTTTTTGTGATTTTTTACAAATAGGTGGGTAAGTAGATTCTTTTGTCTGGTGTTGTATTGGTGGTCTGGCTGCATTAGTAGGATACCTGAGCGGTTTAGACATCACTATTTTTATTATTATTTTTTGAAGAATCTCTAAGGGTACGTACTGCTGCACCCCATACCGTTATTTCGTATTTCAGATGGCTCTCCACAAGTTAAAAATGCAATTGTTTAAGTATTTTAGTTGGCAAAAACTCTTTTAAATGTCTAAACCTATAAATGAATTTTTTTGTAATTTCTTTACTAAATAATTGACATGTTGATCCCACCTCAGCTGACAGTCTAAGTAAATAACTAAATGCTGTATATTTCACCATTAATGTCAATATTGATTTGTTGAAGATATTTTAGGCCAGTAGCGTTACAACTGAAAGGCATAACTTTGGTTTTATTAATATTCATTGTAAGTAGTTTGTAGCTAAACCAGTTTTTTTATTAATATGATGTTTACTTCTACTTTTTCTTTTAGTTATTGCCAAGTATCAGCTTCATAAAATATGGCATTATCATCCTCGTATCCGATAATTTCGCCAGTGGTGTTTAAACTAAATAGGTCATTTACATATAAATTGAACAAAATTGGCCCTTGGACAGTACCTTGTGGTACACTAAATTCAATGACCTATAAATGATGTTGATCTGTTTTTTAAGTTTTTCAAAAATCATACCTAAGTGAGTAATTAGTGATGTGGGCTTATAATTGCTGACTGATCTACTATCACTATTTTTTATATAGGAACTACAATGCCTCCGGATGTGATCCATTTTAAATACTTTTATTATATCGTCGTTGTTATGACTATTGGTCGTATCTCATTTTTTTTTTCAAAATTTCTTTAACATCGAACAACATAAACTAAAATGTACACATATCCCAGAATGATCAAAGTACAATAGAAAATCAGAAGAAACAAACCAACTTACTTTAAAATTTATCAGTAATAAAGTGTTTCATTCCACGAAAAATCTTATTAAGGGTCTCCTGGATATTATTGTAAATTTGAGATACAACCAATAGCCAAAACAACGACAATATGTGACAGTGGATTTGCAATATGAAGTGCTTTTTTTTTCGAAAACTCTGCTTTAATGCCTTCTATTCCAGGAGACTTATTGGGGATCTGTCTGAATTTTTTCGGCATGGTCTTTTCCAAAAATTACTAATTTTTTGTTAAACTCTTTAGCTATTTTTATAAGGATTACTATCCCATCATTTTGATTGTATCTTCCTTTATTATAAATTATAGTGTACCCTGGTACTCATCAATTGTATAAATTGGGATCTGTTAATTGCCAGGTTTCGGTTAATACCAAACAATCAAAATCGAATCTAATTCTATCTAATGTTATTTTAAAATCATCAAAATTTTTACTATTGGTATTGAAAAAATTAAAAGATTTTTATGAACTTTGTCTACACTGCTCCAGTACAAAAGTGTCTATTGAATTTACTTCAAAGTCTCTTAGATACGAATCCTTTTTTGGAAAATTGCTTCCGAATGGTCAAATGGGTTGATTTATCAACCCTAATATTTAAAATAAATCAAAATTCCTCAAATAAATAAAAAGCCAAGTTCATATTAAGCAATTAAAAAGCAAACGGCCAGTACTATATACAGTTAAAAGGAAAATTGCTTCAAATTGTTTCAAAGGGGTTGATTTCTCAACCCCAATATTTCTAGCAATTAACCTTTTAAGTGCTAAATATAAATTTTGCTTTTCATTTATTTTAGAAATTATAATTTTTTAAATATAAGGGTTGATAAATCAACCCCTTTGACCGTTTGGAAGCAATTTTCCTTTAAACTGTATATAGAACTAGCAATTTACTTCTTAATTGCAAAATATGAATTTGGCTTTTCAATTATTTTGGAATTTATGATTTTTTTAATTATTAGGGTTGAGAAATCAACCCCTTTGATCGTTCAGAAGCAATTTTCCTTTTAACTGTATATAGAACTAGCCATTTACTTTTTTAATTGCTAAATGTGAACTTGGCTTTTCATTTATTTTGTGAATTTATTTTTTTTTTAATATTTGGGGGTAGAAATCAAATCTTTTGACCGTTCGGAAGCAATTTTCCTTTTAACTGTATATAGTACTAGCAATTAGCTTTTTAAGTGCTAAATAAAAATTTGGCTTTTTATTTATTTTAGGAATTATGATTTTTTTAAATATTAGGGTTGAGAAATCAACCCCTTTGACCATTTGGAAGTAATTTTCCTTTTAACTGTATTTAGTCCTGGCAGTTTACTTTTTAATTACCTAATATGAATTTGGCTTTTTATTTATTTGTTTTAAGAATTATGATTTTTTTAAATATTAGGGTTGAGAAATCAACCCCTTTGACCGTTCAGAAACAATTTTCCTTCTCACTGTATATAGTACTAGCAATTATCTTTTTAAGTGCTAAATATAAATTTGGTTTTTTATTTATTTTGGGAATTATTATTTTTTAAATATTTGGGGGTAGAAATCCACCCCTTTGACCGTTCGGAAGCAATTTTGCTTTTAACTGTATATAGTACTGATCATTTGCTTTTTAATTGCTGAATATGAATTTGGCTTTTCATTTAATTTAGGAATTATGAATTTTTTTAATATTTGGGTTGAGAAATCAACCCCTTTGACTGTTTTTGAGCAATGTTTCTTTTAATTGTATTACTTGTCATTTGCTATTTAATTGCCAAAAAAGAACTGAAGAAAATACTGAATCGTTATTATTTCTGTTTTTTTTTTATGTTCAGCTTACCTACTTCAAAATTATGAATATCTAATGAAAATTATAAAACTTATTAAAGCGTTGTCTTCTGTGATATTATTTATTTATTTATTTTAATTTTTGTCATATTTAGCTTGTACGCCACTGAAATGGCCAATCGTGTGTTTCCGAAAATTTTGGCTGCTGAAATTGGCTGCTATCTTCACACCGGTTACAATTTAAATTAATTTACCTTTACCTTTGATAATTTTCATAAATTAATCTAGCTGCTAAAGTTGCCCCAATCTCCCCTATTATTATTATCATTATTATTCATATTTATCTAACGAAATTTAATGATAGATGTATAAAAATAGTACATTATATACCTAGGGTGAGAAGTGAGCTATTATTTACCGAGCACTTTTATATCCTGAGGCGCGTAGCGCCGAGGGATATAATGTGCGAGGTAAATAATAGCTTTCTCAGCCGAGGTATATATAGAATTTTTTTTACTACTAACATTAATGTATTAGCAATTTTAATTTTGACATAAGTAATTTCCTAACAATTTGTTAAATATTTCGAAATATCAAGCAGACTGGAACGTGTTTCTAATCAGACTGGCTTTATTTATGTAAAAATTTGGCATGTGTCAAATTTTGGTATGATTCTAGGAAATATCCCATTGCATTTTTAATATTTTAATGACATGGATTTATTGTTATTAATTAATAATTTTTAAAGCCGGTGTTGAATTTCCTAGTTAATATATATTTTTACTGTTTACACTGATATATATTATCATATTTGATTTGATTAGATTTGATAAACCCAGCTTTAGTTATTTCCTACTTATTTTTCAAATATTTCAAAATATCAAGTAGTCTGGGAGTTTAGTTGTCAAATTAACAAAATGAAACTAATGAAATTTAGTTTCATTATTTACCTAGGTTTTTTTTAATATCATTATTTACCTAGGGAGAGAAATATTACTTCTCATTAGAGGAATGGAGTAAATAATGGTGATTTCTCATGTTAGTAGTAAAAAAAATATCTAATAAAAAACGATAATAACTAATAACATGTTTTTATGCCAGCAAAAAATCGCTTACCGTATACAAAGCCTCCAAAGCACCCAACAAGGTCACCAATTCCGTATTTTCGTACCTATGGTATTCCTCAAGGACCAGGAGCGGTCTCTTAATCCCGACCTTGAGCGCCCTCTTTATTCCCGCCGCCGCGCTAATTTTGAACACTCTGACATCGTCGTAATCGGGATCGATCGGCCCGGTCGGCGAATGCACTAACCTCTTCGCCGGTAAATTTATCGGTAAAACAGCTATCTCCGTTTTCAACGAGGGATCCAAAGTGAGAGCGTCTGAAATGCACCCTTGCAACTTGCTGGTCTTGAGATGGTGACCGGGAGCGGTTACTAACACAATACCATCGTATTCGGCCGCATCTATAGACACTTCGACTTTTATTCTTACGTCGGGACTGAAAAGAATTAATTGCCATAATGTAATGAAAATGTAATTAAAAAAAAAAAAACTACTGATTACCTTTTAGAAGCCATTCCTATAATATTTCAATAACGAACGATTTTATTGAACAAAGCTCATGTGGTAGAGCAACGCGTGTGATTCAGCTGTTTTCCAATTTTATGTATTTCTGACAAATGCGATGAGAAGTTTACTTTATAAAGCATGGTGCGGTATCAGCGATATGCGGCGTTGCCAGGTGTTTGTGATAAAAAGTCAATGTGTTGGGCGTATTTGCGGGTACACAATGTGTGTACCGTGAAATTAGTTGTACATTATCGCGCCAATAAAAGATTAGTTAATTGCGATTGCAGATATTCATATTCGTAGTGGTATCGGCGTATTTGGAAAAGTTAAGGACTTCCTATAGTTCCTTATAAAATAGTGTAAGTAAAAAAGAGACTATCTTGACACAGCTAATTTTCCGGGAAATAAAACAAATGCGACTTTTTTATGTATTTGTACCAATAGATGCGTTCGTACCCAGTGGCGTAGCCACGGGGGTCAGAACTGGATTTTTGGTGCTTTTACTACTGATAGACTAGAGTACAGGGGCCGTAAAAAATAACAATACAATAAAATGGAACAATTCTCGAATTGAGAATCTTAACAGCTCTGAATTTGATTATAATAATAGGTTACCGCTGCAGTTCTGGTTGCAGGTAAAATTAGTTTTTGAATCTTCGATTATTGGATCAATATGAACATTTTACAGTCTATTCCTTATTTCACATTTCGGGCGGCAAATTTAGAGGGCGGCAAATAGTAAAATAATATTTTTTCATAAATAGGGTTTTGAAATCAATTCATAGATAATCAAAATTTATTTGAATTCTATCTCTGAAAAACAGGTCAAGTGTTTATTGGGTCTAATTACCTGCTTAATCCATAATCGGATAAGTTTTCAATTGCTCAAAACGTAGAGTGATTTTAAAACGGTATTAGCTTTAAAAATTCCCAAAATTAAATACCTGTTAAGCATATTAGGCACCTTTTGTACTACCTGTCATAATTCATAATTCTTTTAGTAAGAAATCCTTCTAATGACTTTAGAATGATTCTTGCTTTGGGGAAAACAAATATCTGATTTGTGGGAAGCAGTTAACTACCTGCAATTAGGATAATATACAGGGTGTAACTAAATAAGTGTAAAACATTTAAGGGGGTGATTCCGCATAGAAAAAAAGATAAGTAGGACCTTTCATATAAAGTAACTTTATTGGAGCATCCCTTGTTAAGATACAGCCCCTTAAAGGGGGTACATAAAATTTGTTTAACAATTTTTTTCACAAGCACTAAACAAGTTACAATATTGAAATTACCCTGACATTTTTTACTACCAAAAAGACACTTAGCCAGTAATTTATTTGGTTTACTTCATGGTTGTAAGGGGTGGAAAACACAACCCCTAAAATTTCGTTCCAACGTAACTTTTTGTCTTATTATTTATCATTTAAAAATTTATTTCCGATAGCCTGTTTCATTCTTAACAAAAAATGTCTCTTGAATTTTTTGCCCAAAATAAACCAGTTCGCAGCAAAAAATTATTTTACGAACAAGATAGATATCGCCCTTAGATTAAAGAGACCGAAGATGTAACATTGCACACTGCGCATGTTGTCTATTTTAAGCCAAAGTAACCCACCAATTGAAAATCATTGTTGCACGACGCCACCTGAATTGCTTCGATTTCCATTCAGCGATCACCTCCACCTGAGTTTAATCACCATTGACAGCTGTTTTTTGATTTATTTGTTGGTATTTTAGCAATTTAAAGTGTTCTAGTTATTCAATTTCAAGTTCAAAATGTCACGATGTATCTTGAAAAATTGTATGTACTTATAATACAAGTACTACTGTTATGAATATATTCGTTTTCAGCGGTAAATATTTATTAAAGTTTTGACATAAAGCGCCATGATTCTCTGGGCTGAATACTTCAGATCCTCATTAAGGGGTTTCAATAAATATTAAGCATCAGAAATCAGATTTCATATTACATAAATTTACAAAAGGGTAAAATTTTGAACATTTAATTTAAATAAATAGTAAATAGGCATTATTGCTAACGAAATTTTGTATTTAAAAAGTAGTTTTATAAGAATGTTTTCTAAAGGTAGTTTTTAGCCCTTTTTGGTAGATAAATAAGAGGTAAAGAATCATAGTTGCTAGCTAAATTTTATTTTTATAAGGTATTTTTATAAAGTATTTTTATAAGGTATTTTTATAAGGTATTTTTATAAGAATATTAGATGAAATACAGGATGACCTACTTAAAATTTCAAGGTTCATCTTATTTTGCGCTCAAATCGAAAGTGACATTGAATTTTAAGTCTTAAAACAAAGTAATCTAGTATAAGCAAAAAAAAATACTAAAGTTACAGGAGTTAGGTCCGATTCCACCGTTGTGTTAAACGGAGATTAAAATGACAGTTTTACATTAACACTGTCATTTTAAACTTAGTTTAACACAACGGTGGAATCGACCCTTAGTCACGTTAATAAAATGTTACATTACAAACCCCTAAACAACTCGAACATAATTTTCGTTTACTAAAAAAAATCCAAAATTTAGCAATATTTATTTATTATACAATCGAATGCGATTTCAAAGATAACTGGATCAAAAAATCCGAATCTCTAAATTTTGGAGCTAAATGCTCAGATAAAAGCAAGCGACCGATAGGGGTTACAAAAATAATCGATTTATCGATAATTCTGATATTTTTTAATGAAAATCGATTTATCCGCTGTTTTTAATAAATTATTTTCGTTTTTTTTAAGATAATGTATTAATCGATTTTAAAGGAAATACAAAAAAGTAGATTTATTCAAAATAATCGATTTATCGTTTAATAGGTTTTTTAATTATTTGATTATTTTCGATTTTTCAAAGATATTATATGAAAATAATCGATTGGATATAATCGGTTATTTTACATAATCGATATTTTGGTTATTTTTTTTAAATTATCGATTTATTGGATAATCAGCTTTTTAATAATCAATTATTTTCGATAATCGCATAATCAATTATAAATAAAAGGAAATATGAAAAAAGGATTATTAGAAAATAAGAGATAATTCGTTTTATTTTTTGGAAAATCGATTTATCATAGAATCGGCTTCTTAATTAATTGGTTATTTTCGATTAGGCGATTATTTTGGAATTATTGATTATTTTTGGTATTTCAAAGATAATCGAATTATCGATTTTAAAGGAAATACAATAAAAATAGAATATTGATAATAATCCATTGATCGAAAATTATCGATTATTTAAAATAATCGATCATTCTGTTTTTTTCTTTAAATCGATTTGTCAGTTAATCGACTTTTTAATTAATCGATTATTTTTAAAATACAATAAAATAGATTATTGGTAATAATCGATTTATCATAGAATCGGCTTCTTAATTGATTATTTTCGATTAGGCGATTATTTTGGAATTATCGATTATTTTCGGTATTTCAAAGATAATCGAATTAACGATTTTAAAGGAAATACAATAAAAATAGATTATTGATAATAATCGATTGATCGAAAATAATCAATTATTTAAAATAATCGATCATTCTGTTTTTTTTTTTAAATCGATTTATCAGTTAATCGACTTTTTAATTAATCGATTATTTTTGATTAATCGATTATTTTCGATTTTTCAAAGATTATCGAATAATCTGTTTCCATGGACAACAAAAATGGTTTATTTGAAAATAATCGATTATTTAAAATAAACGATAATTCTATTTATATTATATTTTGTAAACACTGATTTATCGGTTAATTGGCTTTTTAATTAATCGATTATTTTTGATTTTTCAAAGATAATCAAGTAGTTGATTTTAAAGGAAATGACAAAAAATATATTTTTTGAAAATAATCTATTGATCGAAAATAATCGATTATTTTCAATGATCGATAATTTATTTCGATAATCACTCATCCCTAGCGACCAAATGACTTTTAATAGATTTAAATTTTAAAATGTTATCTGGTTTCAGACATATGCATTTCTAGAGTTTTATGTGACTCATCCTTTATAATAATTAATATTCTTAAAGAAAGAAGCCTTAATATACTTTTTTCTGAGGTTACAATACAAAACAGCATTTTCTCATTTTGACTAATTTTTAATAATATGTAATAGCCGTAGAAAAAATATAATGTTCAACTCATAAGGGTAGATTTGCAGTATTAGCCTGCGCACATGCTATTTTTATAATACTCGTAGACAATGAGTAACATTTTTTGCTCTATTAACAATATATTCTATTTCAACATTTTACTGTAATCCCTTGCAGAAAAGTCCGTAGTAAATAAACGCTAACGAAATATTCTATAAAAGGTCTTCTCTTTACATAAAATGTCGTGGCATCTGTTTGATATTAAAAAATCACGTTAATTTTATTTCATAATACAAAATTCGATTAAACACCTTTTAAATAAACCTAATAGTTCATTAAGATGCTAATAAACAAAGTCCGGTCCCTGTCACAGAGTTCGGGTCGCCGCGTGTCGCCGCCCAGTTCCCCCACTCCGTTAACCCTTCTTTAGAAATTGGCAACATTTGCGCAGGTTTAAAACCGGTGTATGTTATATCTCTGGTCTCTTTTATCTAAGATATCGCCATAAAACAAAAATACGAAACTAATTTATCTAGTAGGCCGCTATTAGCGATACTGACAATTACATTGAAATTAAGCTGTCAGTTTGTAAATTTTTGAAATTGAAGTAATACTAATTGTTTACCAGCTAAATGTTGATCATATGACGGTATTTCGAATTTTAAAGGAACATCTCTTATACCCTTACCATCTGCAACGAGTACAGGCACTGTTACTGCGAGACTTTCCGAACCGTCTTGAATTTTGAAATTGGATGCTGGAAATGATTAGAAGAAATCGTGACTTTCTGAAGACGATCGAATTCACAGACGAATATAGTTTTTCTCG